TAAAAAAAAATGATACATCTGTCACTTACGATGCCATATGTATTTAGAGAATTATGTAATAGTAATACATATTATATATTTATGCATATATGCATGTTTTATATATAAGCAATATATGAACTAGCACTTACTATATTAGCCTTTATAGTCAAGGAAAATGTTATTTTATAGGATGAAAATCCTCAAAATTAGAAACAGGAAGAGGAATTCTTATTTTTTATTAGATTTACAGATATAATTTACATTCAACACGTGTTGAATATATGCGAAGATGTATACATTTGTGTGCGTTTTTATATATAAAGGAATTATATAATTATATAAAGTTATATCTATATTTTTTCATCTCTTGCATGATAATTGTCATTCATCACAGTGGACAGAGAGAGCATGATGAGTAGGGATACAGAGTTGGGAGCTAAAATCTGTAAATTTTCCCTTTTACTTACTAACTGGCTGTGTGGAAAATTGGCTAATATCCCTGAACCCATATGCTTTCTCCTCTGTAAAATGGGGATTATGAAACCAACTTGCTGGTTGTAGGAAAGGTTAGCAGTAGTGAGGTAATGTGGTCCAGCAGTCATTTTATGTTCTGCTTGTACTGTGACAGTTCAGCACACTGAGGCCAGGGGACTCTCTGTTTATGTCTCAATATAATATTTCTAATACTGTACACTAACATGATTTAAATCTGAAAAATATGCTCCTAATTACTTAGGTACATGAGCACCGGAAGGGTAATTATTTGCTGATGTTACAGGCACCTCTCACAGACGCCAGAGAGGTGCGATTGGACAGAGGGAGTCAGAGGGAGAGGGCTGTCCCTGCCTCGGTTCTTCTCATGCCATATGAATGAATTCAAATGATTAACAACAGATGGTTGCATTGTGATAAAGCCAGTTTATTTAGAAAGTAATTTATTAAGAAAGTAAAATACACAAATTTGTTAGGGGATCAAGGCAGACAAATCTATACCTCTGGCTTATGAAGCACGGATGGGCTCTCAGCTAACCTGAAGGGCGAGTAAGGTAGGGGTTTTTTGCCTTATGTACTTTTCTGTCTATAGATTTTAAAATTCCTCTGCCAAATATCTTGGTACAGATTAATTTCCAAGGTCCCCCTTTTACTTTTTCTGGCCTCCCCAGAATTTGTGAGAAGCGCCTGGCAATTTTATCTTGCCCAGCCCCAGACTGGCTTTTCCGTGTAGGGAGTGGGATGAGATAAGACTGCCCTGTTCCTTCCCCTTCCTCCCTCCTCTCTGCAATCTTTGGAGAGACATTAACTGTTTGCTCTCAAGTGTCCCTGGCTGGGGGAAGATAAGGGCTTGCTATTTATTTACAAGCTGGCTGCAGGCTGCCAAACTGTTTGGCCTCCTTTAATGTTCTTGTCTCAGTTTCCCTATTCCTCCTGCCTTGGAATTTTTCTAGCTTTTCACTATCCTGTAACATTAGTATGCATGAAAGTGATCTTTGGGAATTGAACAGCTAGTTGTGATTTAATGTCCATAAGTCTTTATTCCTCTTGGCTAATTGTGATCTGAATTTTTATCAACAGTAGGTAAAAGCATGGACTTTGCAATCAGAGAGACTTGGTTTAAAGCCCTGGATTAGTCACTTAGTAGCTGTATGAGCATTTTATTCATATCTTCACATTTCTGTATGTATAAATAAATAAATAAATAAATAATCCCAAAAATGTTATTGTGAGGGTTAAAGGAAATAGTACACTTAAAAAGGTTTTTACAGTGCTTGATATAGAAAACTCAATAAATGTTTACTATAAATTACTACAGTCATTATCATTGTTATTACAAATGCAGTGGCACTTTCATCTCTCTTAAGAAACTAGATCTTTGCACAATTGTAGAAAAATTAAAGTTATGGGAAACTGGATAGATTGCAGTGCTTTTGGAGAAATGTACATAACCATTGATCCCTTGGTATTAACATGGGGAGACAATAAATGGAATCATTTATTTTAAGGATTATCATGTTTTGTTTAGTTAGGATACTTTGAAAATCTGACTCACCTATTATTATATAGTGTTTTTTTGTTCTTATACAGCCAAATATTGTTATATTTCTATAATATTAATATATTTCTATAAGAAACTACAATCTTAAGGTAAATTTAAAAATGGTTAGTACTCTAATAGAGCAATAATGGAAGATGACGTAGCAGGAAAAGAAAAGGAAGGGCTTATTCACATACTCAGATAACATAAACTTATAAAAATAATTTATTTTACTGAAAAAGGTGTAAAGTCTAATCTAAAAAAATTAAAATAACTCAATAATAAATGCACATGGATTTACTGAAGGTTTTGAAAACAGGTATTTCATGGTAGGTCAACATTTTGTCATTTAAAAAGACAGTTACTGGATCCTACTATATTTATTTATCTTTGTATCTCTCTATTATCTCTCTATCCATCTCTCTATCTATCATTTATCTGTCTGCTGTCAAAGAGCAAGTTGATTACACTCTGGTTATTGGAATGAAATTCTTATTTGGTGCAATACAGATAATGAAATCATTTATCAATATGAGCATATTTGAAATATGAAAAAATTACATTATTTGTGATATTTTTAAGTGAAATGCTATTGTTCATTAAAAAAACAATAAAAAAGACCTGAGTGGTAAGACATTTTGCAGTTGTAATTTTATTCCTATATCATTTTGGTTACTGTCATTGTAACAGAACTTATAAAAGAATATATTTTAAAAGACTGATTTTTAATAATTGACACATATTATCATATTCTTTAACTTACTGGCAAAGGGCTGTACTTCTAATATATATCTACCCTTATTGGAATGGAGTGAGACATCAGTGCATTTTTGAGACTTATTCTGCTCTGTTCCAAGGCTCTTTCAAAATGTCCCCTTACAGACATTTCTTCTGTATCTCCTAATTCTGGCTTAAGGTCTATTCACTAAAAAAAAGGTGTAACTTGGGCTTGAGGACTTACTTTGGAGTACTGTCGCTGGTCATGATGCACATCTCTTATTTGTATAGTGATTTGTGGACTGAAGAGCTATTAGAGAAGTTGGTACTTTATACAATTACAGCTGATATACCATGCTAACTGAAATTTGAAACATATTTTTGGTGGTGTCTGATGTGATTTAACTAAACCATGTAACTGAAATTTGTGCATATCAGAATCATTTAAAGCAAGGGTTGAATATATATATTCAATTTATTAGTTATCAGGAAAATATAAATTAAAACTACAGTGCAATATCACTATATATTTATAGGAATAGTCGTGGTAGGTAGAATTCTAAGATGACACATGACTTCAGCCCTTGTATAATTACTTCTACTGGAAAGATGATGGGACTTCACTACTAAATTATTTGTTACGTTTCATGGTAAAAGGGATTTTGCATATATAATTAAGATTATTAATTGACTTTGAGGTAATCAAAAGGGAGGTAATCTAACATAATCACATGAGTTCTTTAAAAGTAGAGGAATATTTTCCCCAGCTGTTAGCAAAAAAAGAAATTAGATTTGAAGCATGAGAGGTCTTCAGTGTGAGAGATGTTCTTTATTGCTGAGGTAGATAGGCTGTGGGTCACTGGCCTTCAGGGAGCTCAGAGTGGCCCATTGCCACTAGCCAGCAAGGCAAAGGACACCTGTTCCGCAATACTGCAAGAAACTAAATTTTGCTAGTAACCTTCACAAGCTCAGAAGTGGATTCTTGACCCCAAACCAGGCTGCCAACTTGACTTTGGCCTTGAGGGACCTTAATCAGAGAACACAATTGAGGCCTCCTAGACTTCTAACATAAAGATCTTTGATAATAAATGGATATTGTTTTAGACTGCTAAGTTTGTGTTAATTTGTATATAGCAAAAAAAATAAAAATTTAAAAAGCAAAAAACCTGACAAAACCAAGTGTTGGTACAGATGCAGAACAACTAAAACTCTCATTCTATTTTGGGGAATGCAAGTTAGTACAATCAGTTGAGAAAATTGTTTGGAAATATCTACTAAAGCTGAATATAAAACTTATGAACATACCCTAGGTGCAATTCATAAGTATTTTTGCAACATAAATCTATTTATGCGCAAAAAAGTGTAAGAAAGTTTATAGATATTTTGAAATAGCCCCAGACCAGAAACAATCCAAGTGCCCATCACCAATAAAATGTGTGTGTGTGTGTGTGTGTGTGTGTGTGTCTGTGTACAGGGTGGGACAAGAGTAGGTTTACAGTTGTTTGCATGGAAATAATACAGTAATTAATAAATAATAATAGAAGAGTAAATTCTGTGTTTTGTATACTCACAATTGAAAACCTACTTTTGCCCCACCTTGTGTGTGTGTGTATGTATATACATATATATACATATATATGTATATATACGTATATGTATATACCTATATACATATACACACACACGTACACATATACATGTGTATATATATATCATCCATTGGAAAGTTACATATATAAGAATAAACAAATTGAAATAAGCCACACATAAAAAAAAATAAACCCATAAAAGAGTATGATGCCATTTACATAAAGGTTAGAAATAGACAAACTACTCTATGGTTTTATAAGTGATTATAATGGCTGAGTTTGGAGGTGACAATAATGATTGGAAAGGGCTACACTGGATTTTTAGGGTGCTGGTAATGCTGATTAAACCTACGTGTTCATGTTGCAAAGATTAACTGTGTATGATTTGTGTTTTCATTCTTCCATGAAAAGTTTTTTTTTTTTTTTTTTCTTAGTGAAGGACTGTAGGGTGTTGGCAATACCTTTTTCACTGTGCGGCTTAAAAAAAAGAGAAAATGCATAAGGTCCTACAACTAGTGAGTGAAGACTTAATTTAGAAAATGATAATTAAGGATAAGTAATAATGTTTTAGTTTAGTCATCTATTTAATTTGACTGAAAATAAAACAAGAGAAAAAGGGAAAGTGAGAATGGTTAATAAATAATTTTGACATTTACAATGAATCCTTTTAATAAAAACAGTTTGCCGGGAGGATTCCTACCACTCTGTAGTCTCATGTGCCGCCCTGGTCCTCACGCCTGTGGAGCCGAAGATAGAAACGAAGAACAGAGAAGAGCTAAGATTCCCTGAGCCAGCCAAACAGTAAGTTGTTCGTCTGATCCTTTAGAGCTTTGTGACGTTAACAGATAACTGATCCGAGTTAGCTTGCTCAGAAGTTGTGATTTATAATGAATGTGTTAATAATACTAGCATATTGAGAGCACAGAAATAAATTCCGTACAACATTAAAAATCAATCTCCTGTCTCCTCACTAACTTCTGTGTCTTCCAACTTCATGTGTTTGAACCATGTCCCATCCAAGGGTCACGTTGTTGCCTTATCTTAGGAACATGGGTGAGTATTCGGAGGCACTTTGTTTCCCTGGATGCGCTGTTCTTGGATTGCTGACTTTATAGTTGTAGGATTTAATGGTCTAAAATATGATCATATTTTAATATCAACTTCCTAGCCTAAAGTTGGTTTGCATTTTTATAAGGAATAGAAACTATTATTTTTAACTACTTTAAATCAAATACCCTGAATTAAAACTTCACACTACTTAATGTTTTCATATTCTTGCTATTTTAACAGATCAAGCTTAATTTATATTTAAATTTGATCTTACATTGAATAAATGGTAGATTTTTTTTCTTATAATGGCCAGAGAGAACTAAATTTATGATAGCAATTGTGAGGTATATGGACTTGAAATATCAAATAAACTAGTATTATTTCTGGGTATGCATTAAGTAATGAAACAGGAAAGCCTAGTGGTGATTTTCCAGCGAGAGGAGTGGCATACCTGCTTTAGGGTTGGAGGCTAGGTGGCGTGTGGGGTGGCCATGAATTGCTGCTGACCACTTCATCGGGGAGGCAGGAGTTTCCGTAAAGCCCCTGTATTTTTCCCCATTGATAACACTGAATTGTCCATGTTTGTTTCTTGATGTCTTTCTACTGAATAAGCTCCTGAAGACAGAGTACTCTGGAGTGAAAATGCCTGCTACTCTTTGTGAAATCAATTAGAAAATCCCTTAATGTTACATTTAATAATGTTGAGTTCAAATGGAGCAATGTATATATTTGATTGCATGAGCATGGTATTAATACCCTTATTATAGAGAAAAGAAATATGAAGCAATCGGGATGTAAGGATTGTAATTCAGTGTTAATACAGTCTAAAAGTGAAAACAATTTAACTGCTCTTAATATAGTCTGATTTTGAGGTTCTAAAAGCCTTTTTTGGTCTGATGGGAAGAAAATTACATCTTATATATGCCAGTTGAATTATATTTGAAAATTCAAATGTATTTTCTTTATATATATTTNGTAAGGATTGTAATTCAGTGTTAATACAGTCTAAAAGTGAAAACAATTTAACTGCTCTTAATATAGTCTGATTTTGAGGTTCTAAAAGCCTTTTTTGGTCTGATGGGAAGAAAATTACATCTTATATATGCCAGTTGAATTATATTTGAAAATTCAAATGTATTTTCTTTATATATATATATTTTANAGTCTAAAAGTGAAAACAATTTAACTGCTCTTAATATAGTCTGATTTTGAGGTTCTAAAAGCCTTTTTTGGTCTGATGGGAAGAAAATTACATCTTATATATGCCAGTTGAATTATATTTGAAAATTCAAATGTATTTTCTTTATATATATTTTATATATATATATATAAACTCATATATGTATATATGAGTTTACATAAGTTACCTATATATTTGTAAATTGGGTCTTAAATTCTTTTAATTATATTTCAGTGACTCGGTTCAAAACTGGTCAGTAGTGTTATTTGCTTACATAAGATATCTTTTCCCCTCAGTGTTTAGCTACTTTACTAATACTCAGTCTTCTTTATTCTGAGATATACATTAAAGCAGACAGCATTTGTCAACTGGCTGTCCCTTTCCTTCCTGTTACTCTACATCTGCGCTCATGCTCCTATGTAGTCTTTGAATCTACTTTCTTGTATAAATATTCTCTCTCAGTAATATCATTCATCCACTTACATAGTTTGTTGTTGTTTATTTTTCTGAGTCAGAGAGATGTTGGTTAAAATTTTAACTCTGCTATGTATTAGATGGAAATTGGGAACATTTTATTTAAACTCTTTGTGCTTCCCTTTCCTCATCTGTTACTTGGTGTGATACCACCATCCTTATAGGGTCATTGTATGTATTATGTGAAGCTATATTGGTAAAGGGCCTGAAATCTAAAAATCCATAAAAGTATTAGTTATGGTGCCCATTCCATAACTTTAGCTATCAGCCATTGCTGATGATTTACAGATATATTCGCCTCTTGAAGGCTCTTCTGAAGGCAGGTCTAATATTTAGTTATCGACCTGACTTGTATACCTAGGTGTCTTACCAGAATCTCATACTAATTATTCCTAAAACTGAATGAATGACTCATCTAGCCCCCTTAAAATTTTGATTTTTTTCTGACTTCTATATTTGTATAAAGTTACCATTATTTTTCTTTTCTTAAAATACTGATATGTTTTCTCCTTTACATCTTATATTCATGTAGTACTTGATTACTTGATTAATGTCTCTATTATATTTTTCTTACAATTTGAGTGGGCCAGAAAGGTGTGTGTATACACCTAATGTTTGAATTGTTTTTCTAACATATATATTCAATTGTGATCTTAATGAAGCCATTCAATAGTGGCCATCTATCAAATGGAGATTACATATGCCCTCCCTATCTCACATTGCTATTTTGAGAATTAAACGATAGGTGTGAATATGTGGCAAAATAATACAATATAAATACAATTACAATAGAAATGTAAAGACATAGCGGTTAATTCAAAACCCTTGTTTGCCAATGAGAGAGGCCCCCAATGCACATTGGCTTCAGAAAGATCAAGGGTGGTGGTTGTTATTGGCTCAGGTAATTAAAAATTATGGAGGTCGAAATTTCCTCAAGTATGGTTGGGCCTGATACTCAGATGATGTCATAAAAGGGTCATTCTCTCTATCTGCATCTCTTTCTGTTGCTTTCCTGCCCGTAGTTTCCATTTTCAGGGAGGTTCCTCTAATGGTGACATTATTACCTTTAGCTATTGGGACAGATTTTTATCTTTTCAACACATCCAGTGTAAAGAGATAGTTTCTCTTTCCCTTTAATCAAAACTAAAAAGGTCCAGCTTTGAGTTTCATTGGCTTTCACTAACTTAGCTTGTTTGACATGACTATGCTGAAGCATTTACTGTGCCCAGGAGTATTTGATGATATGATTGGCTAGAACCAAGTTACTTGACAGACTGGAGCACAGGGTGAAGAGGAGAGGGAAAAGGTGATTCCACACTTGAAATATGGATGATGTTGATGAAAGAAGACAGGGATCCATGCTAGGAAGTCAAAAAAATAGATGTTCAATATAGGTAGTAATATAATCACCGTTATTTTAAAGTCAGAATTCTTTATTATATTTAAACTGTAGACATTGAAATGCTACATTAAAATACAATTATGGCCCTGGCTGGCTTGACTTAGAGTATAGGCCCATGGACCAAAGGGTGGCAAGTTCAATTCCAGGCCAAGGACACAAACCCACATTGCAGGAAGGCAACCAATTAATGTGTTTCTCTCACGTTTTGCTCTCTCCCCTCACCCCCCTCCCTTCCACTGTCTCTAGAAATGAATGGAAAAAATATCCTTGGGTAAGGATTGAGAAAATAAAAATAAAATACAATTATGTTTATCTTCATTTCTGGTTTTAAACGATTTTTCACATACTTAATTTTATTTAATATTTTTTGATCCAGCTGTGCTATTGAGAAGCACTGTAACTTGGTGGTTAGGAATTCGGACCTTGGGCTAGTTTTTTGAAACTTTCTTAACCATAGTTTGTTTCTTTTTAAGAGAAGTCACTTTACCTTAGAGTGCAATGCCTGAGACACAATAGGAAGGCAAGAATATAAAAATTTTGCAATTTGCACAACAAATATTTTAGATAAATAACCTCATCGCATTTTTATAAATGGGGTTATCAAAGCCCTATTTGGTATTAGTTTTGTGTACTTTGGATTTTCCATTCGGAAAACTAATAGTCCACCAATACTATAAAGCCAAGATATTAGAATGCTGTAAGTGTAGACATTATTTTGAATACCTAATATTTCCTTTAAATTCAGGATTGGATTATTTCTCTACATAAAATTTTCCCTTTAATTGTACAGGCTTTATGTAATATCATGAAAAAATCCATTGAGTCTTTGAAACATAGTACTCATACAGTCGTATAATTCGAAACTCAGCAAATCTCTTGCTAAGAACAATGGCATTAATCTCAGTACCTGGGCCTCGGAATACATAAGAGTGTATATAAGAAAGACTGTGTAAGATTATGTAATTTTGAGGATGTCGTAATCTAGGTGAAGAGAGAAAACATGCACCTAAAAGATCAATTGTCATATAAAGGGAGCAGATGCTATTTATGCAATGTAAAGTACGGATTTTGGTTAGGCATATGATTGTTTAAAGTTAGAGCAGGTTGATTGATATATCAGCATAAACCTATGGAAATAAACTCAGAATATTGGTCTTAATTATAACATTGTATTGATATATCATTTTAGAATGTAATAAATATTTTATGACTGAAATATTTTTATTATCTTACCAACTTTTAATCGTAGTCTGGGGATAAATATTCTAATTTTGACAAATTGTTTTTAAGTATTCTCACATATTTATCACTTTTTAGACATTTTTTATAAGGAAAAAAGTAAGAATTATGCATTCCTATTAGGAATGAAATACACATTTTTTTCAGCATAGCAAGTGATAGGGAGAAAATAGCTAAATCTTTAAGGAAGGAAAGCTACATTCTGATCACTGTAGTGAGAGAGAGTCAGAGATTTTTCTCTTGTTGATATCTCCAAGTTCATCTTAATGCAGCAAACAAAGATGAGGATTTTACTCTACTTTTTAGTCTAGTCTGATAGGTAGCTCAGAATACCATAGAAAGGGTAAATTTGCTTGCAAAACAAAAAAAAAATCTTTGTGATTCAAAAAGAGTATACAGTTTTCAATTATTTGATTATAAGCATAGAATGTTGGGATCAAAAAGCTTTGAGTGCAA